CATTCAGTAGTGTATACGTCAATGCTACTCTCACTTCGCCCTAGCTTCTCCCTGCCACCCATTGTCTTCAAGTCCATTCTCTATATCTATGTCTTTATTCCTGCCCTGCAACTAGGTTCATCAGTACCATTTTTTAAAATATCTAACCATGAAGATCACTAAAATATTAGCCATACATTTCCTTTTAATTTTCACTTACATTTGGAATCTAAAAAAAAAAAAAGTCAATCTCATTAGAAGCAGAGAGTAGAAAGTGATTACCAAGTGCAGGGAGTGGTACAAATAGGGAGAGGTTGGTAAAAAGATACAAACCTTCAGCTGTAAGATGAATAAGGTCTTAGAATCTAATGCATTACATGGTGGATCTAGTTGATAACACTGTATTGTATAACTGAAGTTTGCTAAGAGACTAAAACTTAAATGTTCTCGCGCACACAAGAAAAATGGTGTTAACCTGTTGGGGGAGAATCCTTTCACAATGTCTATGTCTATGTATGTCAAATCATCATATTGTACACTTTAAATATCTTACAATTTTATTTGTCATTTATACCTAAAGGAAGCTGAAAAAATAAAAATTCCTGATGTTGCAGAAATAAACTGTAATATATTATTATTTCACTCATATTTAAATAAAAACCAGAAAATTAAAAATAAAACCCAAACTGAAACAAAGCAAAAATTTTAAAATGGTAAACATCTTACATAATGAAATATGCATCTCAGCATTAACAGTTAAATAGAGAATGAACTGCTTTAATTAAAAAAAAATCCTACAAAAAAAATGTATGAATGATTTAAAATCTAAAACTTCTGTTTGTTCAAAAAACGACAAATGTTATAATGACTGTCACCTCTGAAGAGCTAGATTCAGTGTCAGTGAAACTGTTGCTGCTAAATCTTATTGGAAAACAAGATGCCACATTGTCACCTGGAATTGCTTGTTCATATCTGGCCCTGAGGATGTCATTTCTGTCTCTGAATGGCATAGAGGTAGTCCGTCCAGGGCAGAGTCAAGATTCATTTGTAGGTGATATGTGCAGAAAACCACACCTGCCCCGACCACCTGCAAAGATGGCTAGAGAGTGGATGATTTAGGCAGGCCTTAGAAAGGACTTCAGAGAGACCACAAAACCCTGTAGGACACATTCAGTGGATGACTGCTGAGCACCATTGTTCCATTCGTACTACTGCATGAAAGTATCCCAAACTCAGTGGTTCAAAACAACTCTTTTATCAAGCTCAAGGATTCCATGGGTCAGTAATTTAGGAAGGACTTGTCTAGATAGTTCTCCCCTGGGATTTCTCATGCAGTTGTGGTCAGGTATTGGGCTTGGGCTTTAGTATCTGAAGGATTGACTGGGCCAGACATGGCTGCTAGTTGATACTATTGGTTGGTGCTCTCCTGGGACTGTCATATTTGTCTATACCTGGCCTCTCCATGTGGTTTGAGTGTCTAAACTTGGCCTCTCTATGTGGCTTGGCTTCCTCACAGAATGGGAGGCTCAGGGAAGCTGGACTACTTACGCGCTAGCTCAGGACTCCAAAATCCAGTAAGCAGAGGAAACTGCATTGCCTTGGAAGTCATACAGCACTGCTTTTCTGGATTTTGTTGATTATGAGTTAAGTCACTAAGGCCAGTTCACATTCAAGGAGGAAGGAGAAAGACCCCATCTCTTGGTGAGGGAGTTTTAAAGAAATGTGTAGACATGTAAAGCCACTGCAACCAGTCTCAATGATAGACCTATTGATTGGGAGCATAGTTCTTGCTACCTGAAATGGAGACCTAATACTTTTTTATTTCTTTATTTAGTTATTTATTTTGAAAACTTGTTTCCAACTTTGTCAATAAGAGAGCCACACTGGCTGGAATGTTAATAACATTCCCAGGGATATCAGAAGTCTCCATAGAGCTACTGATACACTTTTACAGCTTGTCAATGATCCTAGTCTTTATTTTTTATTTTTTTGCGGTACGCGGCCCTCTCACCACCGTGCCCTCTCCCGCCGCAGAGCACAGGCTCCGGACATGCAGGCTCAGCGGCCATGGCCCACGGGCCCAGCCGCTCCGCAGCATGTGGGATCCTCGCGGACCGGGGCACGAACCCGCGTCCCCTACATCGGCAGGCGGACTCCCAACCACTGCGCCACCAGGGAAGCCCAGATCCTAGTCTTTAAATGACATTTTGTGGATCTGGTCAGAGTGATAATTCTCTGGGGACAATTCCTTTCTAATATATTGATTGACACTAGTTTCAATGTTCATCTTCTTAATGTATCTCTTTTCTTTCCAAAGAGAATTCCAATTGACCAGAGGGATTTCAATTAGTGATCAAGCTGGTGGCGGAAGCGGAAAATTGCAGCACAAAGTGAGGAGAAAGCGGGACGAGGGTGGAAAAGTAATTGATGGGAGGCCAGATAGAATAATGAAGATGTAAAAGAGGAAAAACAGGATGGGAAATTGCTCAGGGCAGGTGGTTTGGCCTTTATGATAGTTTCTACATCCTATTTTCATATTTATAAAGCTTATAGATTTTGTGACTATGCAGCAATCCAAAATGTCATCAAAAATCCTAACATCAGCTCTTGTGAGACATAAGGGGTGAAATCACTAAGAATGATATGGTCTGATAAAGTCACATATATTCCTCAGCAATTCTATTCCCCACATATTAGTATTAATGCCTCCATTTGTGAAAGGGAAGAGAAAATGACTCACAATGACTGAAATGAATCAAACAATAAGGAGAATTTTGTCTGCTGCTGAAACTAAGACAAAACATGGTGGAACTGCAATCGTATTCTTCTCATATAGCTATGTCTTACCTGTGAGATCTGACATTGATAGCATTTTTCAAGTGGTAGGCTAAAAGTTACTATTAATGTAACCCCTCAAATCTGATCATCACCACGTCTTTCTTCACTCTGCAAAGATTTATTTCCCTTTCTCAATATCATTACATTGCTGCCATGCCAATGGTTAACTCAATTCCTCCACTATCCAGCAAGTTAGCCTTAGTCCAAACTCACTCAGATTCAAAATGGTCATTTCCATTTACTCTCAGCATTCCTAAAGCATTGCAACAAATAAAAGGACGGCATTTTATTTTTCTCAGATATTCGCCAAATATCCTGAGAACTGCAATTGCTAATTTTGAATCCCCTAGCACCGCAAATTCTCCTGACTGCAAAACTTTCTTAGAGATTTAACGGGTTCCTGCCCACGGAGGACAGATAAAGTACTTTCGAACCTTTGAGAATGACGCTAAAGGGAGCTGGATGAAGCGGGGGTGGCGGGGGCATGGCCGGAAGTCGGCACCAGCGCACAGGCAGGATTGGCTGCAGACTGAGAGCAATTTTGGGTATAGAATTCACTGGAATACAATGTTCCAAGACCAACTGCAGCAAATTATGGAAATATGGTGGAAATAGGTGGAAATATGACAGATTGATGAAATACTGCTGGGAGGAGGGTGGGAAAGGGATGGTAAGGAGCCTCAGCTTCGATCACTTAGAAAAAGAAATACATTTTTGTCTCATTGTTTTCTACGTTGCTTTATGTACCTGATTTGTTGGCCTCGTTTTCTAGCATATGTAATGTTTTTCAAATGTCCATATTCTCCAGTGCGGACCAGTTGCCTGAGGTAAGACAGAGAAGTCAGATCCCAGCAACACTTAAAAGCTGTAAGTTCAAGGCAAGTTCTTCAAATTGCAGAGCGTGTATCCCTTCTCTAATAGGGGCACATTCTACAGTACTTGCCTCATGAGGTTATAGGAAATTCATCTCTATTCACACAATGGTTACACTTGGTGGCTAGGGAAAGGGTTTGGGGAATTGGCGGCTTCATTGCTTATATGGAGGGAACAAGAGAAGTGTCATCAGCCTGTGGACTTGTGGAGCATGAAGGGCACCCACGCATGTCATGCAGAGGTGGGTGGGAAGGGCTTAGTCTGAGAATCAACTTTCTCTAAGCTGCCTCTTTCCTATCAGCATCTTTGCTCTCAACCCTTAAAGAAGCCCAGAGTTTGACCCCCATCCTCACGCACCCCCACTGTAGACACCATGGGTGAAAATGTAAAATGTAGATGTCTCCTGGCATCCAGGCCTCAGAGTGGAAGACAGCAGCCGCATGCAGGGGCAGGAACAAGTCAGGGAGGATGCTTTCCAGACCAGAGGCCATACATGGGAAGCAGGGTCCTTGGGTCCAGCTGATGGATCTGCACTGGAGCCCTGCACCAGCTGTGCCCCACTGCCATCAGAACTGGGGTGTGGCCTAGGCTTCTCACACAGCTGAGAGGCTAGGCACTTGGCTTTCTACCTGACGGTATGAGCCGCTGTTTCTCCTTATGCTTAAGCATTGCTATCACTAAAATTATGAAAATGTTCTACAAAAAAATTTCTGAAATTTTGCAGAAAAATTGATTTACTTCTTGGTCTTTGTGCCTAATTCTACTTACCAGTATATGTATATTCTCTGTAAATATTCTCACTTGAAGAACTTTCAAATATGTATATATGTTTAATTTTTAAACTATAGCAAATACAGATTTTTCTATTTAGGAATTTTTTATTTTTGAAGAAAGCACTAGAGCAGTGTTTGTCACTTTCTCTTTTTCTGGTTAGCTCTCTGCACCCAGTTCTACTGAAGTTTTATAGAGAATCCATATCCTGTAAACCGAACCTGTGATTTATGCTTCTGAATGAATAAAATACAACTAATGGAGTTACTTTCTTCTCAGGCAAAGTATGAAGAAACTGCAAGAGAGGCATACCTTTTATTTAAAGAAAGTTGTGAGAAAATTAGTTATAAGTGGTAGCCTTAATAACAAATTTAACACTACCTGCATCTATGGAATATGATTTGGAATTATGTAGCTTTCCCAAGCCTACCAGATCAAAGTGTATTAGAAAAAAATATAGTATTTTCCACCATATGTGGTCCATGTTGGCTGTGTACAGCTCTGGATTTTTGTGGACCTAGGTTAAGGGATGGACAGTTAAAAAATAAAGCAGACACTCAGTATTTGGGCCTGTGGAGAATCATGGGAAAGCAAAATACTTTTAATAGATTTGATTTTTAAAAGAACAAAAATAAGAATAGGAAAAGTACCATAGGGTTAATTAAAATTAATGTCTAAAGCAAGGTGAAGAATGAGACATAAATGTGGAAGCAAGATTTAAGGCTTCTGGAAGAAAAAGAAATGCTTTGTTTCAGGGTTGGCTTGCTACGTTTCCAGTTGGTCTGCAATTCATGAAATGAAGTGTGGTTTAGTTTTGTGTGATCTAGATCATATAACACGACTCCTATTTCCCTCAGTAACTTCCTCCTAACATTTATGATTTTCTGCATTTCAGGCCCCTCACTGGGTTATAAGATTGGAATGTAACTGTTAATTTTAGTTCGATGTCTTTGTGAAATGCATTCGGCTATCCACACGACATTTCTTATTTCTTGTTCCTTCAACTTGGTGTACGCATAAAACACACCATAGTGGAATTGCCTGTTGAATGCCAGCACATTCATCTGTACCTGGGGAAGGAAAAAAAAACATGGACCATCAACTCTTCTGGAACATACTACTTTAATGGAATAATATTAAGCTACAGACTGGTTTGTGCTTGTGCAGTGCTTATCTGTATTTAAATAGACATTTTCTAAATTGTGTTAAAGAAAGGAAAGCAGTAGGAAATTCAGCAAGTCTAAAGGGAGGGCATCACTCTGCAGAGAAAGGCAGACAACAGTAGTGTAAAAAGTAAGTTTGTAAAATCATAAGACAAGCTCCAAATCTCAGCAGCACTGCTAGCACCAAGATTCCTAGGAGGACTTTGGTGTGTGTGTGTGTGTGTGTGTGTGTGTGTGTGTGTGTGTGTGACTTTGTAATGATATTTATTTGGCTTCTAGCTAGTAGGCTGGTCTCATTTAGACAAAGTATTTTTCCTTGGCCACAATTTTTTAAATTTTAAGGTGGTTTTTAGGCTATTGAACTCCCTTTCAGGGTAATGTCACAGGCCTCTGGAATTTGGACCAGGTGATATTATGAGTTTCCTTAGGATGCTCTGCAGCAACTTAACATACAGCTGAATAGTGTTTTTCTGCAGAAGGCAGATCAGTAAAAGAAAATTTTCAAAAAATATTTTTTTAACTGGGGTACAGTCTGAAATGGAACAATTCCTTTATTCTTTTCCATTTAGAAAAAAGAAGAGGTACTGAGTCCCACATGTAATTCTGAAAACCTCAAGCAAAGCAGTCAGGAAGGGGAGGCCCCCTGCTCTTAGAAACCGTCACACATTTTTCCTGGCAAGGGCAGCTCCTTTAACAGCTGTCTTTGCAGCAGAAGGGCAATAGTGTGGAATTTTAAAACATCCCTAATATATGGGAATACTTGCATTGTTTTTACTTCTTTCTAGAGAATCATTGGAAAATGTCTAGAGTAGGACTTACAGGAAGACCCCCATACTGCTTTCTCAAGCCAGTTTAACCCTAAAGTGTGGGTGAATTTCAGGGTTCTCTGTTAGTTCCAATTAGACTGAGATGGAAGGATCAGTGGTTTTAGGGAAATGAATAAAGTACACTAGAAAAAAGTCTCCAGATTTGGGGAACTTTACCTGGTTACACTTCCCCAAAGTCCTCTTGTTGCACACTTCAGTAGCTCAGGAATTGGCTATAAATGGATCAAGTATTCTTCTGCCTTTTCAGGGAAAT